TTCGGATATTTACTAGAGCCTTTTCTAGTTCTATTATTAGTATTTACTAGTTAAATCTTTTTATTCTTTATTTTATATATTTCTATAACTAGAAATAGATTATAATTATTATTTTTTTCTTTAAAAGCTATAGCTATTTTCTCTAGTATTCTTTTTATTTAATTTCCGAAGTTTATAACCTTTCTATTTAGCTTCTTTTTAGTTAAATATAGAGAATATCCTTTTATCTAGTATTTTAATATATTTTTCTTAGGTTTCTCTATATTCTAGAATTCTTTCTAGTTTTAAATTTAATATTTTTTAGCTTTAGAAATATATTTCTTTATTATTAGAAGATATTATTTTATTTCTTTTTTAGAAATATCTTTATTTAATATTTTTTTTATTTCTTTTTCTATTAATTCCGGAACTACTTTTAATAATACTTTAATTAGAATCTTTTTTATTTTAGTTTCTCTAAAAATATTATTAATTTCCTGAATTCTTAAACCTAAAATAAAAGAATCTATAAGAAATTCTAGTATTTTCTTTTTTCTTCTAATATTAGGCTCTATTTTTTCTTTTTATTTTAGTTTTCTATTCTATATTATTTAATTTCTTAACTCTAGAAGCTTAATATTTTTAAACTATTATTTTCTTTTATTTTCTGGTATTCTTTAAAAGAGAAATAATTATAATAGTATAAGTATTCTAATTATCTTTAAGGTTAGTAAATCTTCTATTCTATAAACTATTACTTCTATATATAATTTTTATTTTTATTTTTATTCAAAATAGTTAATTAAATAGGATCTTTAGAGCTTCTTTAATTAGAAAGAATATATTTTTATATTTTACTTTATTTATAACTTTAGTTCTAAGCTTTACTATTTTAGTAAATCTAAATTCAGTTCTAATAATAGTAGATATTTAATAATCTATAGTATTATATATTATTTTACTAATATTTCTAAAGATCTTTTTAGGAAAAATATTAACTTTAATACTAGTATTAATTATTTCTTTATATTTAATACTTTTTTAAAGTTTATAAAATATAAATTAGAAATATAAAGATTATATAATATATTTATAAGCTAGTAATATCTATATATTAATACTATTACCTTTAAATCAAATAATTTTATTAGTATTAGATATCTAAACTAGTATTTCTAGTTCTTTAAATATTCTATCTATTATATAAGTTATAGCTACTAGGTTTATAGATTTTCTAATATATCTAATTAGACTTAATATAATAGTATTTCCTATTTATAAAATAGTAAAATAGAAAGTATTATTTTTAATTTATTAGTTCTAAAATATAGTAGTTAAATCTGGTATTTTTAAAGTATTAATAAGTATTCTTATTTCTTTCTAAGTTCTTGGAAATAAAATAATTATTTTCTTTAATAGTTTTATTAGAATATTATTAACTTTAGAAGTTCTATATTTATTATAATTAAATATATACTAGATTTCTAATTTGCTTTATTTATTTCCGGAATTATTAATATTTATATTTTTAGCTAGACTATCTTTTTATTTATTATTTCTTAAAATAGTATTCTTCTAGCCTTTTATATAAAATAGCTTTTCTTCTATTCTAGCTTATTTTTAGAAAACCTATCTAGTTATTTCTATCTCTTTTTCTTTTCTCTTTAATAAAGAATTTATTATAGTATTAATAGAAATACTATTTATAGTTAAATTTTAATATTATTTATTAATTCCGGAATCTAAAATATTAGTAATTCTAATATAATTTTCTCTAAAATAAAGTAGCTATTTAGATTTCTTAGATATAACTTATTTATTTCTATATATAGATTCCAGTTAGCTATTTCTCTTTTCTTTTTTTTATTTAGTAAACTAGATATTCTTTATTAATCTCTAGATATTTTTAGGCTAAATATCTAAATTATAATTAAATTCTCTTTTTCTGATTTAAGAAATAATTTAGTTAAATTATTAGTACTTATTAGTAAAGAAAAAGGAAATACTTTTTAATCTAGATTTAAATAGCTTTTTATATTATTTTTTATTAAATTAGTAAATATATTTATAATTTATAAATTCTTCTATTAGTAAATAATAGAACTAAAAGATATAAATATATTCTAGATTAATATTATTATTCTTATTTCTATTATAATATTTATAGCAAATTCTTTTCTTTAGTTCTAAGTCTATATTATAAGCTATATTAACTTAAGTAGTATTTTCTAATTATATTTAAAACTAACTTTCTCTAGAATATAGTTATTTAGACTCTTTATCTAATCTAGCTTAATTACTATAGCTATTATAGTATTCTTTATATTTTTTACTATAAATTCTAGTATATTTTTTCTAAAAACCCGAATTATATCTATTAGGCTATTAATACTATTATATTAGCTATATCTACTATAGTTAACTAGATTATATAAGCCGGCTATAAATATCTTTTTAAATTATAATAATAGCTATATTAAGTTATTTTTATTAGTTCTTTTAAGTTATAATAGTAATAGATAGTTTTTCTAGACTTCTTACTAACTAGTTAATATTATTTCTTTTAGGTTTACTACTTTTAGTAAGCTTTATATAATTAGTTATAAGCTAGATTCTTTTCTTACTTATATCTATAATAGCTTTAAGAAATATAATAGAAAGAACTAGTAAAGAATAATTATTTTCTGATTTAGAAACTATATTATAAATTACTATATTCAAGTATTTTTATTTGAGTTTAAATATATCTAGATTATTAGTAATATTAAAATAATATTTCTTTTCTTTATACTAATAAAATATTATTGTTTTTATATATATTTTATTATATTTATAGATAGAAATATCTATAAGCTTAAAGTTTATATTCTTAAAAATATAATCTTTTATTAGAATAAATAATTCTTTTATAAATTCTTAATACTAAGTAATTTTATCTATTTCTTTTCTCTTTAATAATTTCTTTAATATTCTATTAAATATATTAATATAAGACTTAAAAAAAATCTTTTTATTTTAGACTTATATAATAATCTAATTAAGAAAGTTATAACTAATTTTAAGTATTTTCTAGTTATACTCTCGAAATTCCTTTAATAAAGCTTTAAAAAACTTGGTTTTCTAATAATTTCCTAAATTATTAGTATAGTACTCTAATATAGCCTTAATTCAATTTTTATAAATAAATAAAATATAATAAATAATTCTCTTTTTTTTTAGTATTATTAGAAATATAATAGTTCTTATATATATTTATATATTATTTCAAGAATATAGAAATATTACTTTCTTGAAACTATAATATTCTAGAAGCTTCTATAAATAGTAGATTCAAATCTAGTATTAGTATATATTTATTTTTAATTATATTAATCTTAATAATTTCTTCTATAGCTAATTATAGAGTTTCTATACCTGAAACTTTTATTAATAATATTTCTAAAAAGCTAATTTTCTATTTAAATATATCTTTTAATTTAGGAACCGGAATTAAAAAAAAAACCAATTAATAATAATAGATATAATTAAAGTTCGAGTTTTAATATTAGTAGTAATAAAATAGTAGCTTTTCTAGTTTTATTTCTATTATTTATATTTTTTTTCTATTCTATTAGTTTAATATTTATAGTATTTTTTTTATTTTTACTAAACTAGATATATTTATTAATACTATTAAAAATAATAATAAAAATAATAAAAATAATAAATATAATTTTACTAATTTTTCTGATTTTTCTGAATTCTTTTTCTTTTTTCTATTTAGTATTATTTTCTTTCTCTAGAAACTTTTCTAGTTTATCTATATAATTTCTTATTTCTAATTTCTTTTTAATTCTTATTTCCGATTTCAGTTTACTATTTTACTTAAATTTGAGAATATTTCCTCTTTTAAATATCTTTTTCGAATTTAGAAATAAGTTTTTCTACTAAAATTAATACTATCTCTATTTCTGTTTTTATTATAACTAAAAGTAATATATAAATTAATAGTATAACTTTATTTCCGAATACTAAAGTCTGTTTCTAACTAAAGTCTAATTTATATTATTTTAGTATAATTTTTTCTATTTTATTTCCTCTATTTTTTTTTCTTTTATAATTAGCCTTTATTTCTACTACTTTTATATATTATACTAGTAGCTATATTTTATAGCTAACTTATATTCAAGTTACTAGATATATCGAAAATTAATATAAGATACTAAAATTAATACTTATATATTCTTAATATTTCGGCTTTAGGCTTAAAGTATTATAATAGCTCTTTTTTCCTCTAACTTATTAAGCTAATAATCTGCTTTATAGATACCTCTCAGAATTTTATAAGAGTATTATCTTAACTATAAAGTTTCTATTCTCCCTATATTACTTACTATAAAATATATAGGAGAGAAACTATAATAAGATAAAAACCTATATTAAGTATACTAGAGTATAAAACGTAACTTGATAGTAAAATAACAAATTAAAAGTATAAATAGTAAAATATAAATAGTATATAGTATATAAAAGCTCAATTAATTAAATATATATAAAGGATTATTCTCTAAGTCTATAGAAAAACCAGCTTTCTTATATGATTCCCGCAAGTTATATATAAAAGGCTGCGGCCTTTACTATGTGACCTAAACCTCAAAACCGCCAAAACAATACGATTTTCGACAAGTACGGCCTGCCGTACTATAATACTCCTTCTCTCCTGGCAGTTCTCGCCTAGTAAGCTCCTGTACCTGCCTCTAGAGCCCTTTATCTGTATAAACCGCTAATACCACTGGTATTACTATGTGCTTTTACTGGCAGGTAGTCCCCTTGGTCTTATAGCCGTCCTGGTAGAGCTCCTGTAAGACGTAGTAGTAAAAGCAGCTTAGGAACTGCGCCTGCCGGTCCCGCCGGTAGTTGATTCCCTGCTGGAATTCCATATAGCCTTGGAAAGATAAATATTCCTCGATCTCAGAGCATTCTATCTACGTATACTGGGAGCCTGAGCCCGGCCCCTTAAATATCTAGTAGATCCGGTACCCCTACTGCCCTAATTCCTTAACCTCCTCGAGTGCGGCTTCTATCCGTTCCAGCCTACGGGCAACCTTCCGTCCATATACCTGAGATATAATCAAGCCTTGGGAGAAGAGCTTGCTTTTCCAGAGTAGTTCCTCCCGCTGGCAGTTATTATATAAGACGGTATTGATCCTTTTATAGTCCCGCAGGTCGTTGTCCAAGCTCCGGCCGAGGATACTATACCGATAATCCTTTATCCGGATTAAGCTATTTACCTTATGTGTTTTTAGCTCGAGGCAGCTATCCTTCTTCGAGTTTTCTGCCGGCCAGTCCTTATCCTCGATAATAATTATAGCCGTAATACGTTTCCCAGCCCGACTAGTATAACTAGCTTCTTGAGTATAGTTAATAATGCTATACGGGGCTTCGAGGTAAATAATATATATAATGCCTGGTACGTTGATCCCGGTCCCAAGAGTAGCTATAGCTATAATATATGGGCTTTCATTCCGGAGCCAAGCCTGGAAACCGACTTCTTGCTAAGCAAGAAAGTAAGCATTGTTATCTTTGGGATTCCTATAGTAATAGTAATATCCCAGCTACCGAGCCAGCGCCTTGTATTTAGTATAGCTAGTATAGTAGATTACCCCTTTCTTCCCTGGCGCCAGACTCCCAAGCCAAGCATTGACTAGTTTCTTAGCTTCTATTAGCCCTTGCCTATTTTGGACCCGGAGTACGGAATATTGGGTATTAATGCAATAGCTAGACATACGGATATAGAGGGGATTCTGTAGCTATATTGCCTTCTCGAACTCCCGCTAGTAGAGTGGCGGTAAGGTCCTAGTCAGGAATACGAATGGGCAGCCCAGGTTGCGTAGGAGTACCAGGCCCCGGAGCTTCCTCCGGTACTCGTTAGTAGTAGTAAACGTAAGATGGCACTCGTTGACGACTACCCGGTCTAGCTCTCCCCGGATACGAAGATCTGTAGCCTACTGCAAGAAGTCATTACTTGAAGCTGCCTCCGCTAATACCAGTACTACCCGGGGCCAGGAATTGCATACTTTAGGCTAATACTTGCAGTCTAAGCCAGCGTTAGTATAGCGACTAACTAACTGCCTCTTTAACTCGGTATACGGTACTACCATAATCGTTACTCCAGACCCAGATAGTATAGCTGGTACTATGAAAACCAGGCTCTTCCCCCTACCAGTTGGCAGAATTGTAACTAATAGCGACTTAATTGTAGTAGCCAATTATATAGCTTCTTCTTGTTATAGTATCCGGAACTAAGTATAGTTATCCCGCAGAACTGCCCTCAAAGCTTTCAGGATAAGCTGGTCTTTTCCCGTTCCCAAATCCGGCTTCTCAAGTGGTAGAATCTTAGGTTGCTTTAATAGTATTAGCTCTCTGATATCCGCTGTACCCTTTCTCTTGAGAGATGACTGTAATGATAGCTCTCTAGTAAGGTGAAGGAATTTATGCTATTGATAGCTAACTTGCCCAAATATTTCAAGGGAGTTAGCTATCAAGCGCTTTAGAATATCAATTGTAATGCCGTAATTCGCTGCCGTCCGTCCTGTATAACAAGTAGCCAGGTTATTAGGAATTTCATACCGTTCTGTATTATAATTATAAAATATAATAAGAATATAAAATTAGCTTTATTCTTTAAATCATAAATTATTATTAACTAATTATATACTTTTTTCGTATAATAATAGCCTTATTCTTTTATATTAATACCTGATATATAAATATAATTATAGTAATAGAAATACTAGAAAATATAATAGCTATATTTCTAAATATAATTCTAGTAATTATAAGAAACTATATATATTAGCTTTATTATATATAAATAATTTATACTAATCTATTAATTAAAGAAAGCTCTAAAGTATACTATAAAATATAATTCTACCGGATAGATAGTACTTTTAATAGTATATAAAGGTTAAAATTCTTAAGACTAACTAGAAACTTATATATTAATATAGTATTTTATATAGTTATTTTCTTGAAATTATTATTTTTAGAAAATACTTTTATAGCTTCTAGTTTTATTTAGACTATAATAGCAGGAATAGAGTAATGGAACAAGGCTTAAAGATTAATAATTTCCAATGTCTTAAGAATTTAAAGCTAAGGAGGACAGGAGTGCGGTGTAGTAGTGGATAAGTAGGAATAGCCAAGACTACTAAAACGCCAAGCTTTAGAAGCAAGCTTGGTTTGAACTATAGCTTGGAACCTTAACTGAAACTAACCCCTTTAGCTGAAACCAACTATATAATACCAGCTATTACATTACCCCCCCTCTTCTAAAGAAGCTTGTTCCGAGTGCTAGGAAGAACAAAGGAAAAGCTAAAGCAAGTGTAGTAAAAATGACAGAATAAAGGAAAAGGACCCTATTCCCTAGCAATCAGCCTTGTCTAGTCTAGCCCCGGTGGAAGCTTGCAACCCTCTCCAGAATCGTTATTACTCTCTGTACCAGAGTAATTGTTATTTACTGCAGTAATTGTGACCTGTTTGCCAGAACCAGAGGAGGTGCTTTCAGGTGGCCAGAGACAGTTCTTTACCTGGTGGCCGTAGGAACTGTATCTAAAGTACTGTCCAGATTTCCGATAGTCTTGATAAGCTAGTATAGACATAATAGCACTAATTGTTAGTTCGCTGATATCTATAGGATTGCTAGCAATTCTGGGAGCAGTTTGGTATAGCAGAGTGGCTGTTTTTGATAAGAGCTGCTGAACTATATATAGGAAATTAGTATAAACCTTGGGTAGAACAAGCTATTGGGCCAAATAAGAGTGAATTGTGGAGTTGAGGCTATTGCGAAAACTGGAGATTTTATTAATATCTGGCCAGCCTTGGCTATTTACTTTATATAGGATGTATTTAAACTTGGCAATATAGGCAGAAAGGGAATCGTTGCCTTGGCAGAGGGTATAGAGCTTGTCTTTAGCCTCCGATTACTTATTTGAATTATTATATATTCGTAAAAGCTAATCCAGGATTATTTAGTAGTCCTATAATTAAGTATATTTTATATAAGAGAGCTGTAGCAAAACTATAGATTGGACAGACAAATCAAGATTTAGGTAGATATAGTAGAATTGAGCTATAGTATCTCTAATTACTATACTATTAATAGCTAGCTTTGCTTTAACTAATAGGAGCTAAGTATTGAATTTATAGATACTTCCAGTAAACTTCTCAGGATTAGAAAGCTTTAGACAGGGCCGGAAAGCTTGGGATTTCGCAAGAGCTACTTATAGAGTGGTAATTTCAGAGTATAGGCTATCGAACTCGTATTAAACCTGGGATTGGAGGGTAGGATCTATTCTCAAGGAAATATAAGTAAAGTTAGTACTAAAAAATCATAAAAATGGGAGTGCTTTCTAGTAGGCTAGATAGATAGAATAGGTATTTGGGAATAGTATAGTACTTTACTAAGCCAGATAGAATAGAGGTATTAGAAGCGGTACTTTACTAATTAGAGAGATAGATAAATAATAATAGAAGGTTATAGACTTTGTAATACTAATATCTGCTACTAAGAATATAGGAGCTTTAAATAATATAATAGCAGGAATAGAGTAATAAAACAAGGCTCAAAGATTAATAATTTCTAATATCTTAAGAATTTAAAGCTAAGAAGAATAGAAGTAAGGTATAGTAGTAGATAAATAGAAATAGTTAAAATTACTAAAATGCCAAGCTTTAGAAGCAAGCTTAGTTTAAACTATAACTTAAAACCTTAGCTGAAACCAATTTCTTTACCTAAAACCAACTATATAATACTAGCTATTATATAGGCTATATAAGTAATAATAGATCTTCTATTCTACTATTATATACTAACTCTAATAGAGTTAGCTAAAAGTAAATATAAAGACTATAATATAGAGAGATTTATTATATTAAAAGATTATAATAATAATTCGAAAAAATAAATATCTAAATATTTAGTAGCTTTTTTCTACTAATATTTACTATTTAGTTCTTAATACAAATTAGCTTATATCTATATAAAATATACCTGAAAATAAGTCTTTTATAAATACTTTAAAAGAGCTAAAAATATTAATTAAAAGTATATAAAACTTTATCTAGAAACTAATAGAGAATTTATAGCCTATAGAATATTTAAATAAAAGAAAAGTATCTAAAGTTACTAAAAGAAAATATAAGAGTAATATAAAAAGAGCTTTAAATAGAATAGATAAAATTAAATAAAGAGTAATATAACTAAAAAGCCTAGTAATAAAAAGCTATATATTACTATTACTAGTAGTAAAGGCTTTAATAATTAGTTAGAAAGAGATAAATAAAGTAATAAAATAAATATATAAGTTAAAATAATAGAATAACTAGTTATAATAATTATAAATAAAAATAATAAAAAGAAAAAAGCAAAATAACTAGTTATAAAAAAAGATAAAGAAATTAATAAAAAAGTAATATTTATAAAGAATATTTATTTACTAAACAAAATTATAAATAGTAATATTTAATATAGTATATATCTTTTTAATAGATATATTTTTATCTATATTATAATAGCTTTATTATATATTAACTTTATTAGATATATATTATATAAATATTAATATTATAATTTAATTTATAATTCTATATTCTTTTTTTTCTTTTAAGTTTTCTTATATAATATATATTTCTAATTATAAATAGTTAAACTCACTAATCTATTATATATATATATATTCTATCTATTATATAGGAAATAGCTTTTTAATTATAAGTTCGAGATTTTTACTAAAGGAATTCTCGAACTATAAAGAATAAATATATCTATAAATAGTTTAAGAAACTATTATATTAACTATATTATAGATATTAATAGAATTATATATTATTATTTATTACTAGCTACTAGATAATAGTATATAAATAATTAGTATTATTAAATACTAAATAAATAGTCTAGTAATAAAAATATTTATTTTATTATAACTATTAGTAAAGTTTTTTCTTTTATAGAATTCTATTTTTAAAGCTTTATCTAGCTTTTAGCTAATATTACTAAAAAATAATAAATCTACTAATATATATATATTTCTAAAGTATTTCTAATTCTTGATTTCGGATTAGTAAGATATATTTCTAGTATAAGCTATTACTAAATAGTATATAACTATTAGAATAGAAGAGAATCTAGTTAGAATAGAAGATAGTTTAAGCTAGTAAAGAAAGTAATAAAAGATAGAACTAACTAAACTTATTTCTTTAAAACTAGTATTAAATTATAAAATTTTAGTAGAAAATATAATAGTAAAAAGAAACTAGTTCTATATATAGCTATAGACTTTTAAATTCGATATTAATAAAAATAGCTAAAAGATAGTTATATAGTTTATTAATATTAAACCTATTATTATTATAAACTTCTTTTTTATTAAAGTTATAAAACTAGAAATATATATATAAATAGCTAATATTATATAGTACTATAATACTAATTATATATCTAATAATATTAGCTAAATAACTATTATATAGATAGCTCTTCTAGTTAATAATAAAACTATACTAAAGTTTTTTAAATTCTTCTATATTTCTTTTTTCTTTATATATTATCTAATAATTAATACTAATATAAATTATAATAGTTTTATATATATAATATTAACTATAGACTTTTATAATAAATAATAAAGTTTTTATAAGCTTACTAGAAAAAATAGTACAAATATTATTAAGTTTTTAAATAAATAAAGCCTATATATATAATCCGGAATTAATTTATATTTTCTAGTTAATTAATATCTAAATAATATATTAGGCTTTAGTAATAATATAAATATACTATAAAATATCTATTAGATAATATAAGGGATTTTCTATTTAATTAAATAATTTAGTAATAATATAGTAATATTTTTATTAATAAATACTAGTATAAAGTTCGTTTTTACTTTTCTATCTTTTTTATTTTTATTTTATCTATATATATTAAAAAGTACTAACTTTACTAGACTAAATTATTAGAATAATTAATAAATAATAAAAGTTTATATATTTTTCAAATAGATTATTCTCTAGTTTATAGATATTTATAAGATAATAAAAAAGATTCTTTATATACTAATTATAACTAAAAAGTATTTAAAAGTCAAGCTATTAGTATAAATACTAATATTACTATAATAGGTATTTTATCTAAAATTAGCTATTAAAGCTATTATAAGTCCGGAAATAGAAGAGTCTAGTAAGAAAGATATATTAACTAGACTATTACTAAAGCTTATAATAAAGAAGTATTTAGAAGTATTATTATTAAGAAATAATAAACCTAATATTTTTAAAGACTAGTTATCTAATAGAAACAAAATAACTATAATAAAATAGTTAGTTAAATAAATATTTATTTCTAGTTTATATATATTTTCTTTTATATATATATTCTAGATTATAATAATATTTAGCTATATTAGAGAAATATCTAATATTTTTTACTATAATAAAAATAATAAAAAATAATAAGTTATATTATAATATATTATAATAAGATATATTTAGACTTTAACTTTATTAGTTATTACTAGTA